GGCGGGACTAAGTTCGGAATGGCACCCAGGCTAGTAAAGTTTGTTATCATTGTATCTCTTTTGTCACAGAAGTGGAGGAAAAACAATATCTAATTTAATATTCCCAAAAAATAAAAAAAAATAAAAAATCAGCAGCACATTTCGAGGATCGTTTATAGACAAAATAATTGATGTGAGCTTTGGCCTTAAAAGAAAAATTGCATTCATTGATTTCTATTGCGAATATCTATTTTTGATGGTTGGTTTACCCGTGATACACTGCAAAAAAAGAAATTAAATTCATTTTTAAGGAGTGTATTTTCCCTTGTTTTAAGTGGATAAAAAAGGCAGTTTGCCAATGAAATAAAACGTACATTTAAATTAAGAAAACTTATCTTGTTTCAAGCGCAGATAAAATTATCAAGATGTAAGTGGAAAAATACTAATTCCAATGTCAGATTATCTTATTTATCTGCTTAAATTAAGGGGCAAACACACTTATCTAAAGAAATATCTATTTTTTTTAAGGTTTTTTTTTGCAGTTTATATGCAGAGTAGGGTGACAGATGACGGGCTTTGGGTGAACAGTCCGGATTTTCATTGCACAGCTGGATGAGTATTTATCCTCCTTTATGAGGCACAAGGCTTGAAGAGCAGATTTATTTCCATTCTTGCTGGGCTGCAGCACAATATCCAATCATAGAATATAAAAAAATGTTTTGACTATCTGGTCTAACAGATGACTGGCTAAGAGTGGTGCCGTATCAGATAAATATCTGCTTGTCATTGGTTAAAAAGTAAACAAGACTCAGAGTGATACTTAGTTATTCATTGACAGAAAGTTAGCATCGTGCCAAAACACAAGACCTTGTTTATCTCTCAATGGACAAAAGAGCGTGAATTTATAACGAAAAGTAGTCAAGACTCATTCCATAGCTTCTGCACACTTTGTCGATGCGATGTGGACGTAAGCAGTCAATGGAAAGCTGCACTTATATAGCTTGCAAGTACCAATTAACATTAAAGTAATATAAGTGCAGCAGGTACCTCATCAATGAGTTCCTTTTTTTTTCATAAAGTGTCGTCGCCCCTGGATACCAAAATAACTGCTGCGAGGCTGCAAGCGTCAGCTTTTCTTATTATGCATGTTACCTGTTAAATTATATGTTTTTGAACACTTAAGTCATCACATGTTACGCTTTGTGGCATTCTGCACTTTAAAAGATTTACCTCAATGGTCGGGTTTTGCACACCACGATGTAATGAATAAATACAAATACTGTGAACAAATACTTTTTGACTTTTTTTTTTTTTATATCCTATTCAGCTACACAAGCATCCTATTAAAAACCCTCAAAATTGTACTATAAATGAGAGTAAACCAGATTCTTATGTACACCTTAGTAATTCATTGATATGCCGCATAATATCCTCCTTCTTGATGCTATAGAAATTGTTCCCCTAATGCAGAAGAGGGAAGTAACTAGTTAGATTTAATTGAGTAGCGTTTAAAAAAAAAAAAAAATCACATTTAGTCGTTTTACTACGCTGCACTTCTTACTTTTACTCGAATAATATTCTTTTTAAGTATCATTAATCTTACTTAAGTGAAATTTCTGGTTACTCCGCCCACTCAGAGTATCTTCAGCTATTTGGAGATCAGCTGAGTAATCATTACTGTAAATATTATCAGTGGAAAGTCTTTACCCTGTTCTAATTTAAAAAGAAAATTCATAATCATGTTATTAATTTGTTATATTTATGTGTCACAGGCTTTAAAATACCAGAACTTGTGCATAAAGTCTGTCTTCTTGCATAATTTCTAAATGTTAGTCAAGCCCTTATGATCCAACACTTGGTACTTTTTAACCCTTACTTGAATAAATTCTTAACGTGACTATTCCCTACCTTTACTTAAGAAAAAAGAAAATGTTGCACTGCTGTTTTTCTTATTTGAGTACACATTTAGGATACTCAACCCACCTATTTTAAATTAAAAGACACATCACAAGCTCAGATGATTAACAGCATTGTTTATACTATGTGAGTATGTGTTTGCTGTTGGGTTGACGCAATTGGTGACACAAAACAAACATGGAGCTTTCTTAGAAATTAATTCAGGGGCTTTACGGTGCTTTTTACAGTGGGAACCACAGTTCAACGGCTCAGCAATGAGCTTGAGGACATTAAGTTTAGACAAATGATTACCCAAAGGGTGTCTAATAAAAACTATAATGGAGGAGGTGATTACCTTTAAGCAGAGGGCAGCATTTCCACACCATGATTGGGCCAGCTGAGCCATACTGGCCTAAACTCAGCTCCATGAGAAAGAGAGGTACTCCCGTCACAAAGAGCATAATGAAGTAGGGGATGAGAAACACTCCTGTAAGGATCAGAGAAAAATATTTTTCGATTAGGTTTTAATGATAAGACCATGCAGTTTAAGAGTTAGCTTCATAGAAAGCCTTACAGTCAGTCAGGCCTCAAAATGTTTGATCTCAGATGAGAATATTGCTGGCATAGAAAAAGGGACCTTATTTCCGGTGTGTTATTGAGGGAAAACACAGTTGAAGCTGTGAGGCTGAGCACCCAACTGTATCTCTGTAGCTCTGTATCAGAGCAGACTCTTCCTGCTGAGGAAACAGAGATCTTTTGGAGAGCAGGGGGCGCTCCTAAAGACCTTCTATGACTCTGCTGTGGCATCAGCCATCTTCTATGGAGCTGTCTGTTCGAGCAGTGGCTTATCTGTAGCTGAGAGAAAGCAGCTGGATAAGCTGATCAAGAAGGCCAGCTCTGTGATTGGACGCCCTCTGGACTTAATGCAGGAGGAAACAAAAGGATCGTAACTAAATTAACATCTCTGTTGGATAATATTTCCCACCCCATGCATGAAGCTGTTTCAGAACTGGAGAGCTCCTTCAGTGACAGACTGCTGCACCCTAAAGGCACCAGGGAGCGTTATCACAGATCCTTCCTCCCAGCAGCTATAAGACTTTATAACCACCACTGTTCCCAACAACCTCAATAAGTTGTTACATCCATGCTGATTATGGACAGTTTCTACGTTAGTCAGTTAAATAACATGCTGCTGCCATTTTGCACATCTCTGATGTTGCTGATGTTTTCATAGCTGTAAAAATGTCCATAGCTGGATATTGGTTATTTATTCTCAAGGTGCACAGTATATATATTGTTAAAACACTTTACAGTACAGTATTTTATTGTTTATCTTTAACTCTTCACTGTTATGTTATTCTTGCACATTTTTCTAAGGTCCACATTTTTGTGACCATTTTTTCTATAATCTTCTTGCTGCTGTTAAAACCAGAATTTCCCCATATTGGAACAATAAAGGGATTTTCCGTTCTATTCTATTTCTCCACAAATGTCTAAACTAGGTTTGCCATGCAGGGGAGCAAAGCCCATACCCTGATGAGTTGGTAAAATAATTACCTCTAATAAAATTAAAGGCAGGAATCATAAAATGAAAAAGATCACCAGAGTTAAAAGGAGGATATGCAACATGCTTTATAGTAACTCACCTCCTCCATTACGGTAACACAGGTAAGGGAACCTCCACACGTTGCCCAGACCCACGCAGTAACCGATACAGGAGAGCAGGAACTCGTACTTCCCTCCCCACTGATCCCTCTCAACAACCGCGGCTGGGGGGGGCCCAGGAAAAGGGGCGCTGGAATCCGACGGCTGCTGTGGGGTCGGTGTAATTCCTGGGCTGTAGCCATTTGAAGGAGTGCTATGCCCATTCAAATGTACTGGGTTCTAAAAGAAATGAACAATAAGACAAACATGGTGACATTAGTAGAAATGCATCATAAGACAAGGAATTATTCAATGTTAATAAGAGTTAATCAATGGGAAGCTGAGTAATATGCATAAATATGGCCATTGTAATAATTTAAGAAATTATTTCACCACTTTAAACATGTCAAACTTTCTCAGTTAGAAGTAATCTATTGGATCTATGATAAACTATTGCAGAGTAATTCAATTTGATTACAGAAGGCCACAACAAATATTATCTAATAGCACTTTACAAGATAAGCATTTATAAACATAAGTCTTAAAAAATCAGTCTAATTAGTTTCAAATGCAATAAAAAAAAAGGCATTCTAGATCGATTTAGGGTGAAATTCTGTTTATTAGGAATGAAAGTTTTCAATAAATGAATTAAACTGAAATTGATTGATCTAATGGGTTAACGATTAATTGATAGGCAGCCATTTTCTTAAAAACTTGAAAACATCTCTTATTAACATTAAATATTTTCAACAACACTCCAAGTTATTTTATGATGGGAGATAAAACTATCATTATCAGACGGGGTATGTTGCTCCGACAGAGAAGTTGATGCCGCTGCTCCATGCAGCTCAATTTAATTGGCCTGTTGAGCTGCTGACTATATATATATATATATATATATATATATATATATATATATATATATATATATATATATAGCATCCTAGTTCAGTCATTAAATCAGGCTTAGCAAAAACTAGCAAACAGTGGGAAGAAATAACTCCCTTTAAACTTTTTTTTCCCAGCTTTTATTGTCATTACACTGTCACGAGTACAGAGCAACGAACTGAATTCTCTGCATTTAACCCATCCTCTTGGGAAGCAGGGGCTGTCAGTGTGCTGCGCCCAGGGATCAATCGGGAGTTAATAGTCTTGCTCAGGAACCCAGGGGCTTTGGGGATCGAACCAGGTACTTGCAACCTTCTCAGAGCACAAGCCCACTGCTCTAACCACTAGGCCAACACTTCCCCAGACATGACATAAAGAAACCAACAGCAGAACTTTGCTGGAGCACATTTTATAAAGAAAAGCTTCACAGGTTGTTTTAGTGCCTTCGTTTGGGCGAGGAACATAAGCAACAGGTGATACGTCTATGGTATGAAAAAAAAGAATTTGTAGCTAGTGGCAAGGCCAGCTCCTATGATGGCTTTTTCCAGAGGAGCAACTAGGTCAACTACAGCTTTCCACACCTGGTGACTGAAATATTTCCTATTCTTTTTGTTAAAACAGCTCAAGCTCAGTCAGGCTAAAAGGTGAAAGTTTTCTCAACATTCCTTTTTTTTTTTTTTACATCTTGCCTCATATTAGGGATGAATCTATACCAGATTCCTTTAAACTGAGTTCAAGCACAAGTAATCAGATTATAAATACTTAAAACAGCTGATACCGAATAGAGAATGACTGATACAGTTTTTTTTTTCAAAGCAGATGCTGATTCTAAACAGATTTTAAAATCAAATTAACCGATCCCTGATGTGTGCAGATTAGTTTTCGAGATGGTTGTTTAGGCTGACATTGCTTTCACTTTCTCCATTTACATGATAAAAAACACTGGAAATATTTATTGACAAAATAAACAAAAAAAATTAACAATTGGTAGCAGACTGAGCGAGCAGCAATGCATCCGCTTCACATGACCTCAGGGCATGGCTGCTGGATGCACTGATGGAAACGCCAACACCTATCAGCGTATATAAATGTTAGAGTAATTGTACAGAAATGTATCTGTATAATGTTATAATGCATAAAACTGTATGCTGTGTGTATGCAATTATAAACACCTTTTATCTGTACCGGTAAGCTTGCTTTTAAGGAAGTTGTGGTTGACTTATTGGCAGCATTGCACCTTCTGACAACTGATGTCCAACACAGCACCTGCTTAAGCCCAACCATGACTGAAGCCCGATGTCTAGCAGAAATTAATTGTTACTTTTATGTTATCTGAGTCTGAGAGCTGTAGCCTTTTCCCTCCTCCCTTAGTGCAGCTCTGAGATATGTAGCTAGGGAATGCCTGATTCTAATAAATTGTGAGGAGAGTTTTGAGGCTGGCTGAGTGGTTTGGAGTTTGTAACTGTACAGACTCTGAGTCAGGCACAGAGTCAGAAGAATTCTGACTCTGTGCCTTTCTTTCCTTGTCTTACAGTGTTTTAGGTGCTTGAATCTGATATAAAAAAAAAAAACCCATTAATATCAGACAAATACATCGCCCTGCTGATGTACCAGTCTACCTCTAGTACTGAATATGAGCAAAAAATAAAAGCTTTGTCTTAGCAAATAGTTTTGCTCATATTCTCTGAATGGTTAAGCAGATAAAAACATTAGACCCAGGACTGCTGAAATACAGTAGAAAGGCCCTTTTCTGCATCGGGGAGCTCTGATTGAAAGCTGCAGCTAAAGTTAACTTCATTGTTTTGATGCCAAGAGTTTCATCAAACATCAAAGTTGTTTTGGTTAAGAGTATCAGGTCGTTTGTACAAGAACAAGTACTACATGCCTGATACAGATACCACTTCAACACATGAATATGCATCCCCTTAAGCCTGGCTTTGTATCTCTGGCTGCAGGTTTAAAGTGGTTTGTTTTGCTGGAACATGAACCTCTGCCCTAGACTCATTTAATTTGCAATTTCTTGGGGCTTAGCTTAAAAGATTTTACCTCTATTTATCTCCAAGCATCTTCCCATCAACAGAACAGAGAGAGACTGCTTCCCCGCAGCATGATTCTGCCACCACCATCTCTCAAAATGTGGAAGTTTGTTTTTCTAACACTAACAGGGCTGATGTAGCTACTAAGTATTATGCTAAAAATGTCAAACAAAATGTTTGAGAATACTTTTACAATGAACAGGTAAAATAGCTTTAAGTACACTTTGTATTACAAATATTATTTGGATTAAACTGAACAACTTAAAAATGCATAGAATTATAAGGTACTTTGTAATTCTTCCAATAAGCAATCAACCTCTGAACCATGGAGGAACTTGTGCTGGGTCACAAGGAGGAACTAGAATGGTGATAAGAGCAGAAGTTCTGCTTTATACACCGTCACACTATTTGTTCAGGGTTTAAAGAAGAATTACTTATATGAGTTCAGTTTTATTATGATTACAGGTGATATTAGAGTCTGAAAGGTAACATCTACCTTGACCTACTTTACAGGTTTTGCATATATTACAAACCTGGAAAAGGATAGGAAGTTAAAGGCATGTAATTACCAAAGGAAATGTTGAAAAAACACAATGAGGAAGAACTCTGGAGGAACTAATTGGTTGTACAAAGAAATTTAGAGTTCACCTAAACTGGAGATGAGAATGGTCTATTATTTAGATGCGAAAATAATGCAAACTAGTTTTCTTTTCAGCTAATTTAGGAGTTTAAAATAACTTTAAATGAATTCAATAAGTAAACGAGATGATTAAGTCTATATTTTAGGTCTATTTTTAACAAATGATAAGTATCTAGGCCGACCAGCTGTTCCTGTGTTGGAACGGCATGGGAACAGTTTGTGTGAACACATCTGTACATCTTAAGGACTGATATCACCTCCCACAGAAATGTCGGCGGACAGGTTAGACCGCTCCATCTGATGACGGGGAGGTTAGCCGTAGGTACCGGGCCCAAATTTAAAGCGGAAAAGCTTCAATAAGAGCAGCTCAAGTTTTAAAAGCGTATGTTTTTGGAGCACCCATAAATAAAGACAGAAAGAAAAACAAAAACCAGGGTTTTTACCTGCGCTGCGGCTGCTGCGTCTCCTCCGACGGCTGCTCCTTTACCGCTTTTGTCCTGCATTTCCACCCGGCAAAGGCGGCGCTTAAGTTAAAACACTCGACCGTTTCCCTTCATTTTATGCGGCAGTGGATTTAGAAGAACGCCGACATGCTGTATGTTTGGGTGAAGTAGGTCAGTGGCACAGGTTCGGCAGGTAGACCTCAGCGGTGACGATGAGGAAACGGGCCGCCGGAGGGGAGGTGAGATGAAGGGCGGGGAGAGGAGAAGGGACGCAGGTGAAAAAAAAAACAAACCTCCACCTACCGCTTCAAAACGAGGCGGTGACGATTTGAAGGATGTGTACACGGTAACCAAGGGCAACATGGCGGGGGAAATAAACAGAAGGATGCAGGAACGATTTAGTTTGGAAAATAGTTAAAAACACCAAGAGTTTGAGGTGAAGTCTGCGTGCTGTGGCTTTAAGAATGATGGTGGTATATTTTAGCGCTGAGAAAAGCACTGGAAACAGAGGCGGTTCTAGACCGCATTTACCAGGGGGTCAGGGTGGGGCCATCATCGAATAAAAAGCAAGGCAGTAGATGGTTTCAATGGCGTAACTATCGGAAAGTAGAGACTGCAGTTGCTTAGGGGCCCCAAACCCCTTAGGGGCCCCATCACTGACACCTGGTTGGCCCCCTGCACAGGATGTCTCTTTGCAGATGTAATGGTGTGAAAAATCCGTCTTATCCCAACTGATACTAGGTAGACTGACCAGACCTTATTTATACCGCAACACATGCCAGATTTCAACATGAAGGTGTTTAAACACAACACCAATAGCAAAGCAGACAGTAGTCCTTTTAATTACTATGTTAATAACTGTGTATAGTTCATTAAAGGGGTGGTAAAAAAAAAAAAAAAATACACTCTATAATATGTTTCAAACAGCAATAAAGATCTTAAAAGAATTCGGTAAAAGTTCAAAAAATATCCACTGGACTTGGTTTCCAAGATTTGAAGACGGTTTGCCACCTCTCCAGGAAGCTTTCTCAATTCAAATGTCTGGATCCGCAGTGAGTTTGAGTCTTATATAGACAAAGCCTTGTATTGCTTGGAAACATGCAAATGGCAATGCAAGGCTTTGTTTACATAAGACTCAAACTCACTGCGGATCCAGACAATTTGAATTGAGAAAGCTTCCTGGAGAGGTGGCGAAACGTCTTCAAATCTTGGAAACTAAGTCCAGTGGATATTTTTTTGAACTTTTACAGTATGACTATGTCCTGGATGACTGAGAATCTTCATCAGCATCTTAAAAGAACAATGGATTTGAGTATTTAATTTTTTTACAATACCACTTGGAATTATGGGTAATCCAGAGCATAGATTAAAACCATAAACGTTACGTACCCCAGATTCCAGAAAAGAAAAAAAAAAAGGTGTGTGTGGGGGTAACAACTTCAAAGAGCCGCTTTAAATAATGGTTAGTAATTACTGCTACCATCTTTTTATAGGCCATCATTTGAGACTAAACCAGCTGATATTAATTTGCACTGACAAAAGGAAGGATGCTTTCTAATTACTGTGAGATTTCAGCTAATGTCTTGGTTTTTCATGCCTTTTTGCACCTCCCTTTCTTCACATATTCAATATTCACTTTATTAAACATTACTTAATTTCTGGACTTCTATGGTTTGATCTCTTTGTATGTGTGAAAGCATGTTACCAACATCTAGTGAAAATGTCAATAGGACCTCTAGAAATATATTTACTGAGGAAAATGGTGGCTTGTTCAATACTTATTTTATGCGCTGTAGATATGAAACCCAGGGGTGTTAAGGTTTATTACTCCAGTAGAAGTATAAAGCCTACTGTTTAAAAACACTTTTGTAGAACTTAGAGGATCAACTTAACCTTGTTACGACAGTAAAATTGTTAAAGGAAAATTTTTAAAACTACTTAAAGTATAAAACTTAAAGTAATGCAGGAAAAAAGAATTATGGACAGTAGATTTACTGTATGTTAGGATAATTATCATTGATTATTTGCGAGTTCATTACACCTTAATATTACCTGCCTGTTGCATGCCAGAACTGATGTTTTCCTCAGTAGTTTATCTAATTATCGACCGTCCGGCTATATACAATTATAATCTTCATTATGTATGTGGCAAAGATTTGGGAATGGAATGAGAGCGGCGTCCTTCAACTAAGAACAAAGTGTAATATTTTGATAAGACTGGAGCCATTGATGTCTCCTCATCTACAAACGTGCATGATGTACTGATGTGAAGATGTGGCAGACTGGAGTTGTAAAAAAAATGCTTATTCCTGAGAAGTGAGCCTGGTTGGTAAGCAGCTGCCTTCTGTAACCCTAAGCAACATCTGATCTGAGTAAGATTGCAATTTCTATCAAAATCTGTTGTCCTGTCTCCTAGATATTTTATACATATACGTTATGAAGCGTTATTTAACGAGTTTGTTCCGAGTGATCTCTTTTCAGGAAACGAACCGCAGAGAGAAAGCTTCAAGGGTAGTGCAAGCTTGACCTGTAATACCCTGTAAAAGGAACATTTTTCTACAGTTCCTCATGGTAACTTCCTTAAACTTAATTTTCTTAGTTTTATAACTAATGGTAACCATATAAAATTTAACTTTGATTCATCTTGAAAAATTATTTATTTTAATATGTGGTGAACAAAAAGTTGGGGCAACGCTGAGTCTAACCGCGTAGAAATTAATTGTCTGGATGAAACTAATTATTTTAATGTTTTTTTTTATTGTTGTTTTAATACCAATAGGCCATAATGAAAATGAGCTTAAATAAAGCCTATCATATAGGCTATAAGGAGTAGAAAGTAGAGATAATTGCAAAAAAATATATAAGGACTAGAAGTAAAAAGTTGTCTAAAAATAATTGCTCCTATAAAGTATAGATAGCCAATATTTGGAATTAGGTAAGGGAACAAAGTATTTTACTTTGTTACTTGACATTTCAGGTGAAACCCATCTTAACCATCAATCATATTTATCTCTGCAAAGGTCTGAAAATCAGCCATTGTCGATACTCCAAAACTTTCATATATAACTGAAAGCACCACTAAAACAAGCTTCCAGTTGTTTCAAAGGTATTGTTGTTTTTTCAATTAAAAAACATAGAAGGTGTGTTGTGATCCTGTCATACATTTTTTTTTCTGTATCTGTCAAAATGGCGTCAGCATGTTAGGCTTTTCAACGATTTGATATTAGAAAACCCACCACAGTTGCCATGGAGCTGTCTGAGTGTGCTATATATTTTCTGTTTTAGAAGAGCGGTTTGGACATGATGGGCAGGAATTTTAATGGTTGGAATGCTGGTTTATAAACCCCTGAATTGTCTGTTTTTGTAATGAAGCTGTCTGTTCAATATTCTTTCATATGAAATAAATCTCAGAGGTCTTTGCAGAAAAGAATAGAACTTTGGTTAACAGGGTTGTTTTAGAATTGTTTTGTAAATAAAGTTGCGTTGTAACAATGGGATTTATACTGACACAGCTGAACTATTTTTTTTTGTATTAGGTTACATCTAAAGGCAATTAGTTGCACTTCATTTTGTTCAGTTGTACCAGAATAAACTGAAAAGCCAAAAGATGTATGGAGTAAAAGTTGTTGCATTATTGTTTGAAGCAAAGTATACATTTTGTATACTACAATGTAAAAAATGCAATCCTGAAATAACACTTAAAAAAAAAATTGAAATCAGATAAAGGTTTTAAAAGAAACTTTGCTGTTTTCTGAGATTTTGCTTTTTCAAATTTGTTTTTTGTTTTTTACGGAACTAGTGGCTCATTTTTTTTTTTTTTTTTTTTTTTTACAGTGGGCTGAGAGGAAAGGAGGTACAAGAGAGGGAGAGAGACATGCAAGGATTTAAACTGAACCTTGGTCGGCAATGTCAAGGACTAAGGAATAACCACTGCATCACCGAAGCACGCCCATATTATTTTTCATTTTAAAAACATTGATCATATTTTATTTTTTATTTTTTCTTTATCAAAATGTCTTTTTACAGATTTGATATTTTCCTTTTTTTATTTCGGTTTTTCAGGTTGAGTTTTATGAATTACAGTTTTTTTAAATTGTGTTTTACCGATCTCTGTTTTTTCACTTCTGGTTGGGCTTTCCTCTGGGGTTAGGAGATAAGACGTATATCTATTAATTTGCTGGACGTTAGCATCAACATTTTTATTGGTCAAGACAGAGTGTTGAAGACAAAATGTAGTGCTTAAAATGCAATTTGAAAATAATGGGAATCTGAAAAAAACAAAAACATGAAAAAAGAAAATATTAAAAGAAATTTGGAGAAAATGTAATTTAAAAACTGAAATATGAGAATACATTTGAAAAAAACTGAGATAATGGTTAATGGTAAATAGTTAAGTTTCATTTCGTTTTTATTTTTATTTACAAACTCTGTTCTTTGCTTGCAAAAATAATGGAACAAATATTTTATTTCTTTCAAAGTTTTCATTTGAAAAAAAAAAGAAACAAAGACCTCAAATAGAAAAAAAAGGATTTTGGGGGGGGAGAGTTATTTAATAAAACTAACAATATTAATGTGCCATTACGCCTTGGTGCAAACTTTGAGCTTGCCCACTTCAGAATCCTGAAACCAACAACATCCTGAGAGCCTAACAAGTGTTCTTCTAACTCATTAGATCTGCACAAGAAGAGAGATGTGAGAAACACAACATAATACGTAGGTTAAGCTTAAACAGGTACTTGTGTTCTGGCCATCACTAAACAAACACTTTTACAGTCTGAACCACACCCAGGTGCAGTCAAAGGTTCAACAAGTTTTCCCCTTTCAATACCTCCAGCAACACATTTTTCATGTGATCTGATAAAGATGCTTTCTCACAGAATTTAAGTCATTGTTTCGCTCACGTTTTTCAGCTTTCTTCTACATTACATCTGCTTTTATGTGTCCTGAAACAACATTTTCAGGTCAGTACTTTACCTGAGTTTAAATGCTAAGATAATGTCTTTACCCAGGAAATGAAATGTGCCTTCCCAACAACTGAAACAAGTGCAACTCTTCTATAGTACTGGAGAACTGGCTTATCTGAATATCAAACTATGTTCACACCAGTTCACAGAAGAGTAACAACCAGAGATTATCTCATAATCCCAGGGTATCGTTAGGCAGTGGCCGTAGATGAGGCAACAGAAATGCAAAACATGGTAATTCAAAAACGAAAAGACTGATTTTGAACCATATGAGACAAGCTTCCTATATGAATTGGACCTGTTTGCACATCCCGCAACAGCTTTTACTCTAAACTGAGCAAACATGTCAATGTCAGCTAACATGCTACAATTAGCAACTTGACAAACATTGCCCCCACTGTTTACTATGTCAAGCCCCTGTCACACTGTGCCGATTTACCCAGCTCTTGCCTGACATCCTAGAATCTTCTAAAACGCTGGCATACGCTTAACTTTCTCTGTATTTTTTTAATTTTGGGCGTACACATAGCGTGTTAATAAATAGTATAGAGCTTAATGATGATGCACAAGCCAGTGTCCGGAGGGGGCAGCGATGCGTCCGGAGGTGCCGGGCCTGCATAAAAAGATTTCTTTGATCGTTTTAACCTAGCTGCTGTTTACTGCCCGCCACAAAAAAAAGAAAAAAAAAAGAAAGAAAGAGGGGAGGCTCCATCACACTGACCTTCACGCTCACCCTACAACTGGAACAAAGTCCAAATTGATGAGATCATGCTGATGTTGGAGGACAGCTAGTATGAATTCCTGTCTCACCCTTGTTGGATCCTCCATTTCTTGTGGAACTTCTGAAGTCTGGAGGAGTTTTGACGGTTTCCTTCTGTGAACCACTTTTATATCAAAATGCTGCCAATACACATTATACTTTAGCTGGAAGTTAGAAACACGTTCAGTGGTCGTCTGGAACAAGTCAGTTACGTTGATATGCGCTGGAGATAAGTTCTGGATAAGTTATGCATAAGTTATGCACAAGTTTCTAATTTTGGATAAGCTAGACGCCACGATTTATGAGTAACTTACACCTAACATATGTCAATAATTAGAAAACTTACCTGTAACTTATGACCAAAATATGAGCATCTGTACTTGCCATATATCAACATGTGCCAGCGTGCTTCAGTGTGCTTATAACTTATACAAAACTGTCCCCTAACTCGTCCAACATATGCCAGCGTTTTTGCCAGATTTTTCGAACATCCGGTATATGCTCACTAAATCGTCAAGGTGTGTAGCAGGATGCATTATTCTTCAGATAGAGATGACAGTAATTAGTGGTCAGCGATGGAGAATCTGGGTCCAGAAAGTAAAAACCCTGCCTAAGTTTCCTTCATCCTGTTAACTTAACAAGGAGATTAGCCCACAGTTTTTGTTGTGGAGCTGGAAATGCAAATAGTTGGAACTAATCTCTGTACTGGCTTTTCAGTTTCTGGATTATCCACCACTGTTAGTGCTACAGAAATCATGGATGTGGTTCAGCAAAGGTATTGGTAAATCGCAAGTACTCATATAGCAATTAAACAAGTTTGAGGACCCCAAAACGCTTCACACTGCATTCAATCATTCAGCCATTCACATGCTGAAGGTAGTGAGCTAGACTGTAGACACAGCTGCCCGGGGGCAGACGGACAGAAGTGAGGTTGTGATACAATCAACGCAACCAGGTCATCTGATTACCAACAGCAGACAAGATGGGTACTGTTGGTGCCCAAGGTCACAAAAACACAGACTGACAGATTGTGGGCTTAAACCAGCAAACTACAGGTTACAGGATGAACCCCTGAATGACCAAAATGGTAAATGTCAAAGCAATGTCCCCAAGGATGGCACAAACCAATTTTTTCCAGCTAAACTTTCTCCAATATTAACTCTGCCCACAAAATTTTTCCCCCCATTGTTCATCCTGGTGCATAATTTTTCCGCGGGTTAGAGATGACCACAGTTCCAACCATCCAAACAAAACGTGAATCACCAGGCCAGGCTGAGAATGCCCTTTTCCATTGCTCCATACTACAGTCTTGATGCTAACTTCCCCCACTGTTGGTCCATAAGTAATGGACAGGTTAAAAAAAATGCACTCTGTGTAATGACACCTTTCTATCCCATTGCACCAACTGCTTCATCCAGGCCTTTTTTACGCAGTGGGCATAACTGAGCCTTGGTCACCGCTGGTTAACTACAGTTTATTTCTTAAACCATTTTTTATTGATTCAAACTTCTGCTGATCGGTAGCGGCAAACACAGCCTGCAGTTTTAGGGATGCTGGATCCTCTCCCTTAGAGATCACCATACAGCCATTATCAGACCTGCAGGTATCCAAATGATTGGCTACTTGTCCAGCTTTAACTCTATAACTTTGATGACCAAGTATTTCCTCCCTTACATGTCAATCCCATACACCAGGGATTCCCAATGATTACACGGTATGTGTACCCGTAATGGTCCACGAGTTCATTGCAAGGGGTACATCAAAATATTTTTTTTCTTTGGTAGTAAGATAAAATAGGGCTGGGATTTGTTCTGCTTTGTGAGGACCAATCAACCAAAAGATAAGTTTTTATTTGAGTTTACCTTCAGCTTTTACAAACCTCCAAACCAAGCAAAGGACAGGATGTAGAGAACAGCCTGGGATCAGCTGTTTTAAACACTGAGCTATCAGAGCTCATCAAAGCAAACTCTATAACTGAAAACAAAACAGAACTAATTAAGTCAGTCTGACAATAAATTTTGTTTTGTATTTTGTTCCTAGTTCATCAAGTTTATATTTGAATTTAAGGGAGTTACTCAGATAAGCTCCAGTTTTATAAATACATATTTATAGTATACAAATACAATACAATAAAATGATAAGAATTGAATGCTCAAATTAAAAGTATAATAGTCTTTATTTCATAACCAGTTATCGTACGTTCCACTTTTGGACAGTCATCAATATTTTTGACTGAGAGCAGTACTCATGGTAAGACATAATGCCCAAAGGGGTACACAAATCAAAAAAGGTTGGGAAACATTCCCAGGGGACATTGTCTTATCTTCTTACTTAAATGGTATGGCACCTAAAAATCACCGACACTATAGCTCTCATGGTAGTATAAAGAGTCATAGCAGATATTCATCACCCAACTTTTGATTAGGACCAGGTTTCCTGGTCTGACCTTTTCCATCCAAAATAAATGGAATCACTGCTATAGCCCACTTAGCTTCCTTCACTAGCTGCTCTACTGTCTTGTTTGCCATATAAAAGCTAAGCATTGAGAGAAGTCTCTGCTTTCATGATCCCACTGGTGTTCATTGATGAACCAACAGGATTCAACATAAGAACAGAAAAATCTTTATCTTACAGCATGAAAGGTAAAGACATGAAACTCGAGGATGTATAGCATATATATAGTGTCAATACTAACATGGACTTTTGATGCAGACTTGCTCTTCTTTTCCCTTCTTAGTTGCTACCTGTGGCCTCTTTAATCCGCCTAAGCTTGTGATGCTTCTCTAAATCCATCCAATCTGTTGAGTCCCTCACTTAACGGCCACACTCAACAAATCTGGGTCAATAGAACTTGCCTCCTCTCTGTGCAAAGAAGAAAATGTTAAAGCTGCTTTAAACGGCTTCTTTATCCAGTATTATTCAAGATTTCATCAACATTCCTGGACGGAAGCTTCAGAGCCAAGAGGAGGTCTGAAAATATCACACAGAAAAATGGAACATCAAGACCCAGTGAAAAGAAGCTGGAGAAAATGTTTGTGCTGTCAGAGACAGGTGGAATTTGGTGGGATGGTGAAACGTCATGAAATAGCTAATGAAGTCAAAGGAAGCAGTGTGCAGCTGGAGGAACAGTCAGATATCTACTGGAACTTATGGACTAGTGTTGAGCCAGCGAGAGTCAAGAACTGCAACGGCAGATCATTTGCCATGGACGCTAGAAAAAGACTGGATAGCTTGAAGTCTGGCTGTAATTCACCACAGCCATGGGATAGTTCTGACAGCCCTTTGTACTACTATGACAGAGAAAAAGACCTCTGGGATGGTGAAGACCCAGAGGTGGAGCAGTCTGCTTTAGACGTGGTGGACATCCTTGATTTAGAGGGAAACTTGGAGGATGAAGAGATTTGGTAAGTTCTACCAGAGCTCAGCTTTCTGTGGGGTGTGTGGTCATTTATTTAACAGCTCAGCGCCTCCCTGTGAGCCAAAGTGGGGAAATATGTGAATTTCATTTTCTTACAGGTTATATGAACCTCCAAACAAGCAGTCATTTGAAAAGGACTCTGCTCTCAGATGGTGCCGACACGTACTGGATAACCCCAGTCCTGAGATGGAGGCTGCACGTCGGGGACTGATGAAAAGGCTGCATGGAAGTCAGAAAGCTGCTTTGCCTTACGAATGTTTGAAAAGATATGGGGTTCAAAATCACTCAGTCACTGGTTTGCTTTTTTCTGCCATTGCCAGGATCAAGTTACTACCTCTACAGACATGCACCAGTTGTCACTCATTCATCCCGTGGCTGTTGGGAAAAAACATCGGTCAACACATCCCTCAATGACTCTGATGGTTTAGGTAAGGCCCTCATTTTCTTTAAAAGGAATCAGATTCACACAAAAAGTCGAAAACAAATGCTTACACCGCAAGTGCAGGACTTTGTGTCAAAGATTTAGCTTTCCACCTCATGGTTTATACATAAAATACTTCAAAATACTACAGTTTACTTTCTGATGTATGGAAGTAAAAAGCAACATTAACAACTCTCAGCTGCAGCATACATCTTTAAAGATTCAAAAATAGCAGGCACTAAATTACACGCATTATATTTTATTTAGTACGGTACATGCAATAAGTGGGGGTGTGAGGTTGATCTACAAAGATTGCTGCGCAAATGTGAAGACCTGCAAACCGGCTTTGTTCCGCCCTCATGAAAATGAGCAGATTGGGGGATCTACTGGCAGTATAAGTGACTGTAAAAGAAAGATGAGGTTCAAAGCCATGGAGATGTGGGTTATGGTAATAGATGTTTACATAGGATAATAATGAAAATAGTGAATAACATTTATTGTGCAGGTTAAATAGGCGGACTGTCTTAAAGTGCAAACAAAAGTAAAAAAAAAAAAATTATAATAACTTAAGTTAAATATATAAAGTGAGCAGATTGTTCTCTAAACATCTGGATTTGTCTCCGCTTGCTCCCACCAACAGCAGCTTGACACAAAACATTGAAAAATAAGGTCAATGTTTTTTTCTGTTTTTATATTATTCAACTGTTATTTCTTTCAGCCCAAATATGTTTACATAAGCACAGAATCTCTCGTTATCATCTGTTATTGTTTCATTGCCTCCTTTATAGCCACTATGACTGCAGATATCTTTGTGTGTCATTTTGCACCTGATTTTTAGAAGAACTGAAAAATACGTAAAAAAACGGAGACTGTAGTTTAGTTTCCAGTTTGGGAAAAAAACTGTAGTTTAGTTTCCAGTTTGGGAAAAAAAAACGCTTTACTCTAGGAAAATGTTAACTTTTCCATATCTTTCACCCTTGAGTTTCGGCAGTTTGGTCATTAGGATATGATCTTCCTATTGATGAAGGAAAACACACAACAAATGTTTTGCATTCGCTGATTTGGAAACATATATCACTGCTCACCATCTTTGAAGATCTCCTCAGCATTTACAAAAAAAATTTGCGCCTATTTTAAGACGTACAAACCTTCTGGAGATCAGGCCCTGAGTATTTTTATTTGCATAACCATAAAAAAAGTTTAAAAGAATAAGATCCGGATTCTTAAAGATTTTAGATCTTACATAGAATCTTAAATATGAGTTATTAGTTTGAACTTAAGTAAGAAAACATGCATAATTAGGAAACAGAGAAAAAAAGCAGAGGGAGAAAACCTCAGTCAATCATTTATTACCAGGTGGAAATGGAAAAGTGGACTTCCCGATTGCACTACATGGTGTCTGAATGAAAGAGTCACTGGATATTTTAACAAATGTAGAAGGGACCCAACTGGTGTGAAAATTTGGAGCTTCTTTCATTAAAAAAGTGACTGAATAAGATTTTATTTACCATCAAAACTTCAAAGAGCTTAATTGGTTAAAAAAAAAAACTTTTAACCCAGAGTATGACTTTAACACTGTTGCTCAATTAGCAAAAAAAAATAAAGGTCTTGTTTTTACCTTTTCACAGATCCTGATAAGGATTACAGATTACAGGATATAACGGATGTTCATATTATGGCCAAGATACAGGAAAACAGTGAGTATAAAGGACCTAAGGGGCTTGGTGGGGAGCTGGTTTTGATCCCTTGCAGTGACATCCTAGGAGTTTTCTAGTGTGTATTCAGATTTGGAATATTTTTACATTTAAAAAAGATCTGACTAAAACCCTTCTAATCTGTGCTCTTCAGGTTTAAGACAGGAATATATTTCCCTGCCGGCTGTTGCTCTCTTGAAGAGAAACCCAGACATGTTTTCCTCCTTTTCCAACTCTGAGGTTGACCACAGCGATGACTTCAGTCCCAGAATTAAAAACAGTGTTCCAGGTTTTCCTTGCAAGCCTGGTCCAGCAGCAGTGGGCTCTCCCAGCTGCAGGTTACCGGTGCCAGCGGCCAAGGAGGGCTGCCAGAGTCCAAAACTGACCAAACTTCATCAGCAAGTGACCCAGTTCAAGCTGCTGAGACTCGCTCAGAGTAAAGGTAAAAAGCCACGCCGGTCCTTTCCCATCATTAGTAACTTATACAGTTAGATATAGAGGTTAGGTTTAAACCAGAATCAGAAGGGTGGCCATTTTCTTCTTCTTGTGCATTTCCAATTTAAAGTAATAAATTGGATCTTTTCCTGGATGCAGCGTCTTCAGGCAGGACCAGGTCACCGAGGCAGACGAGTCTGCGGTCCCTGCAGGCCGTCAGGAACAGCCGGAGCTTAGAGGTTGATGACTACCAACCTGCTGGCAAAACCAGCCAACATCCACCAGGTTTCTACCCATCTCTGCTGTCCACAGGCTATAGAAATTAGAACAGTTCTCATGGCTCATGTCTTCCATTGCATTTAACCACCAGCTCCAGGCTATGGATTTGCATCCCTGAACTCCAGCAGTGGGACCGACCTGTTGAGGGACTCTGAGCGGATAACAGCGATGAGAAGACAGTTCAGGTCCCAGTCTCTCAGTCCCAGCAGGCCTCACCCATCCAAGGGGTACCTTCCTGTTCGCGGGCGGGTTTTTGCCTCACAGGAGAGCCCGACCAAGGCGGCTTGGGGCAGACATGCCTCATCCACTCAGAGATAAAAGATTTTGCCAGGGAATCTCTTTTCATAAGGAAGGACACGAAAAGTATTCACACCCCTAAAACTTCCAGCATATCTGTGACCTTCTAACCCCAACCTGCCATGTATTTATTGGGATGTGACAGATAAAAACAGAGAAGTGCATGACCTGACCCCTTTACTCTGATACCCCCTAATAATATCTGGTGAATTTAGGCCTTAACAAAAACAAATATTGCTGGACGATAAATTGTCCCAGAAATTATTGCAATAAACAATAAAAATGGTCTGAATCCAACGTCCTGCGACACTGCAGCTATCACGTTAGGCTTAGAAACCAAATTCATGCATTATGATAAATTGACTTTACAGTAAAACCATAAAGGTAAAGAATAAAAAAGGTCCAAATGACCAACCAGTTATGGCAAATATTATCATAAGAAAATAGTTTTTCTCTACTGGGATAAAACTCCTGCAAGCTGCAAGAAAATCTTTGCTTTGCTAGTCTTTTTTTTATTTTTTAGTTTGTTGGACCTTTTGAATTTGCTGTGAAATGTATATTTTATTATCACGTATTTATGGTTTTGTAAAACAAGGGGAAATAAGGGAAACAAGCATGCAGATGTAATCACACATCTCATTTAAAATGTAAATTAAGTTAATTTATTGTTTATCTGGATAGGAGAGTATTGGCATAGGTGTCACAATACAATATCATCACAATATTGCAATATCACTATATATTGAGATATTTTTCCTAGCTATCAAATTAAGTGTATAGATAAACAAGTAAGTCCTGTAAATGTTCATTAGAAGATATGATCATTTAGTTGTTTTGGTTTCCATGTTGTCTGGGGTTTGAGTCAGTCCATCAGATGATGATGCACCGCACAGCTAAAGGGTTCCACAGCACCACCTTTTTGCTTTGTTTTTTTTTAAAATCGACACTAGGAACTGGAAGATTGATATTATATCGGGGAGCCGGAAAATCACAATATATTGCCAAACCAATTTTTTTCCACACCCCTAACTGGACAAACCCATGACCGTCGGTAAATGAATAAACTATATCTGCCTGTGAAGGCCTTGAGGGTCAGTTAAAATAAAAATAGAGCACAGAATTCATGGTAAAAGATGTGGACAGGTTTAAAGCAGCAATATGCTCAGATTTCAATGTTTCACAAAGCTGTTCAATCTTGCATCTCAAAAAAAAAAAAAAAAAGAAAACCTGCCAAGAAGGAGAGCATTATTCAGAGAACAACCAAGATGCTGATATCCAGGTCCAAACCTTATTGACAGGAGGACTGGTGGGTGTAAAACCTACAAACCCTAAAACATAGTCTTAGATAGAAGGAAGGAATTGCTGAAAGTATGTCATAACATGGCTACTTTTTTCTATGTTGATGTTACAAACTAAGCCTCAAACTGAAGACATTAAATGTGGTGTGCCTCCATCAGGTTTCCCCTTGGCAAAGTTTACAAAAGAGCATTTTAAAGAATGTTTATAACAAACATGGCAGTTTGTGGCTAAGAGATACTTAAAACTACATGTAACAGGGGTAATCACTTTCTCAACATGGCCTAGTTGGTGTGATTCATTCACAGGCTGCTATAATAGACTTGGACAACTTTTATTGTATCTTTGTATCTTCAGATTGTATATGAAATATATGAAATGTCTTTAATGGAGGGAAGAGGAGCCTCGATGATCTTCTCTGCTGTTCTCTGATGCGGAAATGTGGTAAAACTCTATGTCTGAGCGGCTGAACTGGAGCTCCGCTCTGAGCAGAACTGCTGCAATAGGAAGTTTGCAGTTTTTCATCATCATGGCAGAGAAGCGAGCAAACGCATGAGAGGAAGTGTCGCAGAAACCGAGGTGTTGATTTGGTGTCACTGCCTTTTAATAGTAGTTCAGCATTTGAAGAGGAGGCTTACCATCTGGTGGTGGAGGGAAACTGACCCATTTTTACATCCCTTTGAGCTTGTTTGAATAACCTATTTTATTATTCATAAACATATCTGTCAAAGTCAGCTTGTTTCATCTCTTCTTGAGGTATGCAAATTCTCAATTAGGACCAGTTACAACAAAATCTGTGAACCCCTGCTGTGAGGGAGTCTCCTCATCAGTCTGCTAACACTAACTTCTCAAGTTTTATACCTAAACCTTAAGAAGTCTGTGGTGAAATACATGTTGCACTGGCTTGGGTCACAGATTTAGTTTTCTTTTAAAGCGCCACCTACTGTTCATTACATGAGCTGCAGAATCTCTTGTCTGCTACTAGTGTCAGATTAGAGACCTCTAAACTTAATTTTTAAGCAAGTGAAATCTTCTATTGAATTAACTTTAGTTCTCTAGAAAACGTTTAAACCACTAGGGGGTGCTAGACCTGTAACTTCCAGGTTTATGGCCCCTGAAAGCAAGTGGCAGTGCTGCACTGTTGCAAAATGTGAACAGTCTCTGTGATTTTGAAAAGTATCTTCAAAAGAAAAAAAATACTTAAAAAGTTTGTTCCAAAAAATTAATATAAACCAACATGCTTCACCCATAAAAGCAGCTCAGATGAATACATGGCACAAAGATCAGAGGACATTTTTTTCAGGTTTAAATGGTTTACTTTCCTTTAAAAAGTTTTTTTTTTTCTTTCTTTCCCGAGGTGAGTGTATATATATATATATATATATATATATATATATATATACTCAAACAATTAATCAGATTAATCGGTTATTGAAATAACTAATTTATTAATCAATTAATCATTAACTGGAGTAAAAAGACTCTACAACAAATCTTTAGCTGACAGAGCGACCCACTTAGAGCAGCAATTATATCAAAATAAAAAAAAATGTATATAAACATTTTGCATTTAAGAAAAAAAAGTTTTTGTCAACCTGCTCTATCCAGAACTCCTCAAGGTGAAAAGTTTTAGTTTCACCTGGTTTAATTTAGTAAAATATCTTCTTTAAGGAACCTTTGGCTGTCTGATTAATTTAAAAAATAATCGACTGATCAATGTGCATAATAATTGTTAGTTGCAGCCTTAATATATATATATTTTTTTTTCATTAAAGTTTTTTTTTAACAATTTCCATGGCTCCAATTTAGCTCCACTGATTTGTTCAGAGGCTCTGCTGATGAAAAAATGGGCAGATTTCCTTATGAAAAATTGGGTAAAGATGGTTGTTTATAGAAAATAATAGTGAATTTAAAATTTGCCCATAAAATTCTATATATTTTTTTTCTTTTCCAGGTTTTATTGTCAATACACTGGTACAAGTACAGAACAAAGAAATAACCTCTCCCTCTGCATTTAACTCATCCCCTTGGGGAGCAGTGGGCTGCAATTGTGCGGCGCCCGGGGAGCAGTGTAGGATTAAGGGTCTTTTTGCTCAGAGTGGCAGTCTGTGGGAGTGGGGCTTGAACTCTAAACCTAACCCAAACCTCTGGATTCCAAGCTCTATGTCCTAACCACTAGGGCACTATTCACTATACTGTCAGTTCTTATCTGCTTTCAGTCCCAAATACGATCTCAGTCTGTGGTGAGCATGACCCAGTCTGAGGGCAACTCAGACTGGGTCACATGACACCTTCAGCAGAGCATGATAAGCAACAGCTGCTATTTTGACCAGAAAAAAAACATTTATGCAGTTTTACATTAGAGAAACCAAACCTTTTCTTTTTTTTAAATAAATTAAAAAACGTCTTTTTTATGAATTATTTCATCATGCAGCTGCATTTCAGGGGTTTTCTGCAAGAATATTTAATCAAACTCCCAACCAAGGAGGAAGTGAAGTTTTATTTTTGGCAGCAATGTCTGTATTTTTACACATTTATTTACTTCTTTATAACTAGTTTTCTGCTCGTCTGCAGTTTAGAAGCATCCAATAGCTGCTGTGCACATCATAGAGTTAAACCAGCAGAAAAATGAGCAAGATTCACTGTTATTAATCAGTTTACATAAAAAAGGAAAAAGCTTTAATTTACAACGAGCCGCTAAAAGGTTTCTACAACGGCAGCAGTAAACAATAATTATGTACAAAATGTTTGTTTAAAGCTTTTAGCAGAGAAACTAAGGATTCTCTGCTCACTAATTATCAGAGTCCATGTCACTGTCTCCTCCGATGGATCGAAACTCTTCACTGTCTTCGTCTTCACTGAGCGGGACTTGGGACAGGACAGCTGGGCCTCTTCTCCGCGCCTCATCCTCTTCGTCCTCCTCCTCTTCACTGATGCCATACTCTTCTCCGTTGCCCATGCTGGATGCCTGCATTTGACTGCGACTCTCCGTCTCCTCATAGCTGCCGTAGCTGAGAGAAGAGATGGTTTGAGCCAAATGCCACATTTTAAATGATTAAATGTGGCAAATATGTTATTTTTATTACCTAATGTTGCTGTCTTCCATGTGTTCGTTGCCAACCCCTTCATACGACATCATGCTCTCATCCTGCTCCATGCCCATGCGGGCCGTGTCCTGAGCTCTCCGTGGGGGTGCAGGCCGGATATCCACCTCCCTTTCCGAGTCGCTGCCACTCTCCGACAGCTGAATACCTACAAACAGAAAAACAGCAATGATACATTTAGGTCATGAGCAGCTTTTAAGTCTATGTTCATAACTGATCTGAAGTTGTGAATCTATGATGCCATCGTTGAAAAGTATAACTACAGTTTAAATATCAGCTACAGGAAGTATTCAAACCCACAGATTTCGGTCACGTTATAACCACAAAGTTGTTGTGATATGATAGTTTTTTTATGTGAAAGATAAATACTAGTGAAGTGAACTCTAAATGAAATAAAGCCCAACATAAGTTCAGGTAGAAGATGAACTGGCCAGTGGGAAAGAGGTATTAGAGGAGCTTTGACCTAAAGAAATATTTAATGTATCTCAAATTAAGCTGTTGGGTCAAAAATAACTCAGTGCTGCTTTTAGGATGAGGCTACAGCACCAGTTACACTGCGTTCACAATAAACGCACTTAGAGCAGCAAAGAAGTATCTACTGCTTCACCTTTGATGCCTTTCCACATTAAAGGTCTGCAGCAAAGTGCTTTGTAAAGGGTCTGTGGAGGCGTTTAGTCTACGCCAAGAGCTGCAGGCTGGCGATGGTCGCTTCCACAGCTGTTTTCGTGTCAGCTTAGTCCAGTTTGACAACCTGCTGACTGTTCTGAGCGCCAGCTGCTTGAAAAGCACTTTAAGCGCCTCAGATGCTAAAACACTGATGCTACTCCTGCTGCTTAAAGTGCGTTGATTGTGACACAGCATCAGGGTTTGGCCGTTCACTAGCTGCAAGCTTGTGAAGTGATTCTGGGTCTTGTCTTCACCGGAGAACGGGTTGTCCCCTTCTTCGTCGCTGGCGTCGTCCTCTACGTCAGACATGAGCAGGTCCTGATACAGGACGCTGGACTGGGCCGGATGGCTGGACCTCCCACGCTCATCGTCGTCATCCTCCGCTTCGTGGTCGTGCTGCCGCCTGCGAGGTGGCAACAGCATCTCTTCATCGTCTTCATCCTCTAGATCTCCATCAGCATCCTCTGCCTGCCGCCATGAGATACAGAAACAGTGCAATTAACATTCTATAAAACATTTTTTTCTATCTTTTAGTTGTTTTTTTTATTTTTTTCTTACAGGGGCAGGGGTTTTGGGTTTGCCATCATCTTCCTCCTCGAAGCCCTCAATGTCCACATCAGAGTCCTCCTCTCCAGGTCTCCTGATGTGTCGTCCCTGAGAACCAGAATCAAAGGAAATAATCAGGCCAGATCTGCTGAGCTCTTTTCTACTAAATAATTTATTGATAAGCAGATTAAAAACAAACAAACAAGCAACTGCCCAATTCTCTGAGGATAGTCTGAGGAGAGCTGGCATGTGTCTCTCTCCATACCTGCCCCCCTCTCTTCTCTGGAGCAACCAGCAGAGGTCCCTCAGAGAAAAGGCTGCTAGACTCTCTGGGTAGACTCCCTGAAGCCACGCTGTCAAACAGATCAGCAGGCTGGCCGGCACCAGAGTGGGACACACACACACACACACACACACACACACACACAAGGAGAGAGGAAACGAAGGCAGGAGTGAAGCAGAGGAAAAACCTTGGAGAAGTAAACCGGACTGTTCAAATACAACAACCTGGAGGGCAGAGTTAGTGCAGGGAGGATGTCAGAGGAAGGCAGGAGGACTGAGAGCTGCGGGCGAGAAATCTACTCCACTAACAGTCATGAGCCAATGAGGCTTCCGTCCTCTGCTCTTACCTGGGGGGTGTAAGGCCCAGGCGTCATGGGGTCCAGACTCTCCAGCTCTGCTGCATCCAGAGCTGCCTCCTTAGCCGTAGAGATGTCCTTTTCTAGCTGGGTCAGGTGCTCGTCGTACTAATTAAACAGAAAACAACAAAACTGTTAAAGTAACCCTTGTCCTCGTTACCAAAGTTAGACAGTAAATCCAACTCAAACCGCCTCTGACTGGATTCCTGTGCTATGATTAAGGTATTAATGTTGCTAATCATAAATTACATTTCCGGTAGATAGTATTTGATGGTAGTGCATCGACAAAGCTGAATAAAAGCTGCCTCAAAAACTCAAAAATGAAAACTAAAATATGTTAAATCATAATTCTTATCATAACCATGATTTTAAAATGAATTTAAATATCTTGAAATATTAAAATGTATTTCATTTTCAAAAACATCACCTATAACTCCCTTGTGTCTTGCTGTGAAGCTGATTAGTGTATCATTTATAAAGATGAAAGATAAAAGAAAACAACAAAAAGTTTTGTTGTTTTCTGTTCAGGGAGCCAGAGTGGCAGTCTGTGGGAGTGAGGCTTGAACTCAGAACCTCAGGATTCCAAGCTCTATGCCCCAACCATTAGGCTGCCACTCCCCTCGTATGAAGCTAAAAGACTTTAATCTCTGATCCAATTTGTTTCCATGTCACACTGACTGCATATAGAGAGGCTCCGACTATATGGCGTAACGATCGTGCTAGTGGCGTAAGCGTGCAGTGAGACAGGTATTCAGCATTTTAACATAACACGCCTCAAAACCTGTCTGACAGCCACTCAACCCGCCGTCGTCATGCTCAACATCAGCTGTGCGCTCTGCTGTTCTTCCGCTCTGCGCTCGCAAATTCATAAACGCAGGTAAATTAACCACACCATCAGCCAATCACGCTCTGTTTTTTTCATCCAATTAAAGCATTCTTTTTTTTGTATATATATATATTTATTCAGAACATATGTCCAAATAAAATCTACATCCAATGTACAACGGTGTTTTTCTATTATTTTTGAAGCCTAATAAAAACAAAAACCCAACCCACCCAATTCCTTCCTATAGAAACACATGTACACTGTAGTAGGAATATATTAAGCATTAAAGGAGAAGTTCGGTTTTTTACACTTTAAGCCCATTTTCTGTAGTGTCCAGGATGAAATCGAATGATCGACACCAAAAGTTTGACAATTGGTCCTGTCTCTGCTTTTTGGCTCATTTAGAATCCACCCCTGGCTGCTTTAGAATGGCTTGCATAGAGCATGTCCGATAATGTCCTTAAAACAACCTTAAACGTTCTTTTTTTTAAATATGCTACTCACCGTGTCGTCAGCGCTGTTCAATGACGTTCCAAAAAAAGTTTTGTGACGAAAAAACGTTCCTGTCTTGTTTTATTTAGCATTTTGTAAATCCCATTGAGTTCTGTAGGAATAGTCAATATTCCCCTGCCACCGGAAACGGAAATGGGGCCTGTTTACACAGTTGTAGTCTTTTCGCTTCACTCTGTGTACTCCGACGTCGAGGTGCTAACGTCTCTGTTAAACACTTTAAAAAACTCTGAAAATGGAATACGAAAGGTGGATTCTTGATTCTCGACGTCGGAGTACACAGAGTGAAGCGAAAAGACTACAACTGTGTAAACAGGCTCCATTTCCGTTTCCGGTGGCAGCGGAATATTGACTATTCCTACAGAACTCAATGGGATTTACAAAATGCTAAATAAAACAAGACAGGAACGTTTTTTCTTCACGAAACTTTTTTTGGAACGTCATTGAACAGCGCTGACGACCCGGGGAGTAGCATATTTTAAAAAAAGAACGTTTAAGGTTGTTTTAAGGACATTATCGGACATGCTCTATGCTAGCCATTCTAAAGCAGCCAGGGGTTGATTCTAAATGAGCCAAAAAGCAGAGACAGGAGCAATTGTCAAACTTTTGGTGTCGATCATTCGATTTCATCCTGGACACTACAGAAAATGGGCTTAAAGTGTAAAAAACCGAACTTCTCCTTTAACCATGCTTTTGAAAGGTCAGAATTAAGAGAAAAGAGCACAACAAAAATATTGAAATAATTGAAACACAGTGAAGATCAATGTTGATCAGTCTCTCAGGTCTAATCTGGTTGAGATGTCCAAGAAGGGATTCCATATCTGGTCAAATTTAGCCAATGTCCCACGTACCCAATGGAGGATTTTTTCCAGGAGTGCAGTATAACACCAATTAAAGCATTCTTTCCAAATAGCACAAGCAGTAAAATGAAAAACTGCCCAAGAGGATGATTGGCAGCATCCTTGGGCGGAAGTATAAAAATTTTAAGATTTAGCTAAACTTAATATAAGATTAAATAAACTCTTTGCTTTAATAAATGGCCTATACATATATAGCATTTTTCCAAGTGCGAGGACCTGACCAAAGCGATTTACACTACATTCAGTCATTCACTCACACACTGATGGTGGTGTGCTACATGGTAACACAGCTGCCCTGGGGGCTCACCCACAGAAGTAAGGCTGCCGTACACTGGCCGCGACCGGTTCCTCTTACCACCATCAGTAGACAATGTAGGTGAAGTGTCTTGCTCAAGGACACAACGACACTGAAAGCCGGAGCCGGGGCTTAAACCGTCAACTCTTCGATTTCAGGGTAAACTCCTACGTCCGACACCACTGTCTCTACATGCGCCCCCAGAATATTAACTGTATACATATGCTCACTGCCATTTTGCATTAGTATTCATTTCTCAGGCCCTGGAGGTCCTTGCTCTGCATGTTGTAGAGGTTTCCTTCATCCTAAATATTAGATTTAAAAAGTGAATCTATTTCAATGCAGTCATAACATACAGCAGGGTAAGACTCTTAATCCTCCTCTTGGGCAGTTTTTTATTAAACCGGATGTGGTATTGCTTTTGGTACTAAATCCTTTCACGTAAACGTTTGCATTATTACAAGAAAAAACTATTGACGTATTTTGGACAAGTCAAAAAGTATAAAACTGTTATTTATATTTTCAATTCTGCACAAGTCTAGATTTTTTTTAAATATGGACCAAATTTTTACAGGTTTATTTATACTAAGTGAGAAGATGTGTAACAGATAAGACATACCTCTGCTAGCGTCCCTTTGCACACACTAATGATCTCCAGGGCGGTCTTGGTGTAAGGACTGTCTGGACCTGTTCAAAACAAACATTCAGAGTTGGGTTGCATCACAGATCCTGCTTTAAATCAGCTCTAAGAGACACAGCGAGCAGATGTGACATCAGTAAAATCAAAACCCACCGTTGTATTTGCTGCTGTTGGTGTGGATGAGACTGACATCTGAAAGAAAAGTTTCCCGATTCTGGTATTTATGCTTGGAGATGTTCTGCAGAGCAGGAAAGAAAACCAAACAAACACAGCAGCATTTAGTGGTTTTAGCCTACCGGTAATTTCCTTAAAACGTAAACATATTTTGTTCAGTTTAAATCTCAGTTCTAAACTTCTTACCTTCCGGATTGTCTCCAGATCCATGGGATTTACAATGACCTTATAATAATCCGGCACAAACTTTTTATTGACAGGATGGTGAAACGGCCATGACTGCATCCAGGAAAAGAGGAAGAAATTAGAAAAATGCGATAAACTTTGCCTGGATCACTGCTCCGTTGTTAAGCAGACTCACATCAGGAACCACCATCATTTTCTGAGTGACAATGTTGTCCAGGATGAAGGAGAAGGCCACCTGGTCGTCGTCATCCAGAAGGGGGTTGATTGCCTTCTCCAGCCTCACCAGCCGATCCTCCTTCTGCAGACGCAGGCAGAAATGTGACAATTAGGGGTGGAAACCAATGCAGCTGTGCTGAGACGCCACGGTGGCAGCTCACCTCTTTGAGTTTAGCGTCACACAGGTCCAGCATGGACTGTGCTACTTGCGTTATTGGATGTTTCGCTCCTGATGAGAACAGAAAATCCAGAGAGAAAATTACTTGATTTGGAAATTTAAACGTAGAAAGAATTCAGAGATTAAAGTTTAAAAAGCCGCTTCAACAAAGAGTAAAAAAATGATCTGTGAATGATGTCATATTTTAACAGATATTATTTTTACAATTTACATTATATTTCCAATTTTCCATTGAGAATTTAATTCTTTACAATTTACGTCTTTAGCTCAAATTCTGTTAATTTCTGGTGGGGGGGGGATACCCTTCATAACAAAGGAACAGGAATAAAAACGACGTTCTATTGGAAGAACCAGGCAATGCCAATCTTTGAAAATTTGAAAAAAATATGCAATTTGCAAAACTCAATCTGAAAAAGAAATATATAAAAAAAATTCAGAAGTATAAAATCAGTCCAAAAAAAAATGTTAAAAAATTAAATACGCAAACAAATTTTAACTAAGAAATAAAAAACAGCAAAGTTGGTTTTAAAATAATTTTCCACCTAAAAAGTTTTAAAGTTTCAATAAAAAAAAAATCACTGATAGAGAGTTTGCGAAATGAATGTGGTTTGAGATGAAAATATCCAAAGAGAAAACAGAAACAAGCTTCCAAAGTTACCATTGTAGGTTGCGCTGTTTTTGACGATCAGCTCAACCGCCTCACGGAATTCCTCCCTGGACGGATACATCCGCTTCCGTACGTTCTCCCTCAGCGTCTGAAGGTCCATGGGCCGGTTGATGATCTTATAGTAATCCTTGACCACCTTGGCGTTGACCGGTGTGTGGAAAGGGTACGTCTGGATTCAGAGAAAGAGAGACACGTTCCTCAGTAGTCCGAGGCACAAATAAACAAGAAAACTGGAGCATGTTTGTAGGATCTAACGTTGGGGTGATCCCGCATGTCGTTGATGATTCCCTCCAGCACAGAGGACAGCGTCACCATGGGGTCAGTGCGTCTGCGATGGATGGCCTTATGGGGTTTCTGTTAAAATCCAAACAGAGTCAAACATCAGCTAAAGAGAGACAGTAGCCATTCATCTATACACTAAAAAACTCTTTGTTCTCTGATCTAATAGTCCATCGGCCTTTAAACTCTGACTGATTCTGTGTCTTGGATTCGTGTTGTTCTATGCTTACATTGAGGTAATCACAATGGGCCGCACTGCCGACGCGTCTTTTCTTCTTCTGTGGTAGCTGCTGCTTGGGAAACTTGAGCACCAGGGACTTTCTGCGCACCTCGTCAGCGCTGTTAAAGAGCGAGACCGTCAGCAACCAGCAGGTGTCACAGAGACTAAAACGCAGCACAGGAGCCTGCATCCCTTACCTCTCAATCAGCTGCTTCCCAAGCACAATCTTAGTGCCCTCCACCTTGATGAGCTCCTCGTTGTCGTTGTGGATCACGGTCTTTTCCAGCTCCTCCTCCTGCTCCTCCGTCATGGCGACAGGGTTAGATGGCGGGGCGTTGTTTTGGTAGTACAGTGGGCAGAATTTGTTGGTCCTCATGTGTCCGATGGCTCCACAAGCTCCGCACTTCAGCTAGAAGAAAAAAGTCAAATATTAAGGAACACGACGATGACCAACAGGATCCAATTTAAACCATGTGGACACAAAATGAGCTTGAAATCTTAAGAAAATTTTATCTAAAGAACTGAATCAGCAAGCTTACTTTTACCTTGAGGTCTGGTCTCTCCTTGACCTTCTTGGACTTCTTCTCCGGCGGACCTTTGAACTTGTCCTTCTCCTGGTTTCTCTTCAGCCTCCTGAGCTGCTCCTGAATACGCCGCCGCTCCTTCCTCATCTCCTCTCTGTGCTGCTCGTCGAAAAGGGCAAACTTTCGTCTGCAACCACAGAAACGCTCGTTAAAGTGGAGCTCGACGATACGGCCAAAACTCATATCAACATGAAGTTCTCAATTTTTGATTTCAATAATTCCAAAAAAGTTCCCGCACAAGATTCATTAACGTAACGTTTTCTTGGGTGTGATGTTGCCTGATGAAGGCCATACCAACTGAAATATTACATTAATAAATCTCTTGACAGTTAAATTTTGAACTTCTCATCTTTAGTAAAACCAAAAAGATCTCAGCCCTAATTTCTACAAAGGACTCGGCAAAGGTTCACAACACAAGTGAAGCTAACTGGTATGAACCAAACCTTCACCAAAGCAAGAATCAGCTCATTTAAAACAAAAATCCATTAATTCACACATCCCATAATATCACAGGATTCCTCTCCGTCGGTGGTAACAAGCTCACGGTCTACTCTTTTATTTTAAGTACATGTGACTTTTCTGAAATTTACACAGGAGCAGCTCAGTCTGTTTTCCTGCAGATGGATTATTTGTCATTTTTGTCTTTCATACTTTATTCCCACTCAGTTTGTTAGTGAATAAAAGCAGTTGTTTATATTTACAGAAAAAAAACTGAGGTACGATACTGAGGAGATAAGCAAGGAAGTTATCAAGCTAAGCTAGTTAGCATCTCCAGCAAATATGCTAACTAGCTTAGCCTGTCAATATAAAACAAAGTTGTCTATTCATGGTGATAAAAGTACAAAAAAAATTTCCTCTAAAGTAACATAGCCGTATTTAGGAGAACTGCAGTATGCACGGAGCATCTGTACACGTTTAGTGCTGAATATTGACCTGAAAAATATTTTAATGCATTTCAAACTTAGCTAATAGTTGGGTCAAAAGCTACACATTGCTGCTTTCAATGCCAATGTTTCCTTTTTTAAGACAAACTTGAAGACTTGACTAAAGAGAGGAAGAACATGGAGGTTGGGATTCTTCAGGATGATGACTTCTGCTTATTAAAATACTAAAACAGAAAAGGTTTAATGTGAAGCATGGAGGTGGAAGGGTTGTGGTTTGTAGATTTTCTGCTGAGTTATAAAATCTACCACAAGTTATTCCATGCATCAGACAGGGCCTGATGAAAATGTTAGGAGATCTCTAGAAAAGACTGAAGCTGAAGCAGAATTGGATGTTGGTCTCATTCGAAATTCTGTGAGGTGATCACCAACAAGAACCACAGGTTCTGTCAGGATCTGGTTAGCTGTTGTCTTCTAAAGTAGTTATTACATTCTGATCATAAAACCGGCCTGAAAGTCGGAACTTACATAAACTCGTCATCCTTGGTGGTTCTGATCCTGGTGTAAGCGTCGATGACGGCAGCTTTACGAACCGTCTCACAGCGAACGTACTCTTTGCCATCCTCGTCCTTGAAGGTGCGGTAGATCTTGAGTCGACGTCCCGTAGCCGACGAGTTCAGGCTGGTGACGGAGGAGGTGTCGTCGTCTTTGTGGGAGCCGGTGGACAAGGCACTGGCTAGAAGGGAAAGGACGTTTGTCAGAGGAGGAGAGTTTTAGCAGGGAGCACAGCTCTTCTTCCCCACTGGGACTTTGTTTGCTTACACAAGCCTTTGCGATGTTCCTTGCGTCCCTTGTTGTCACGATCGCTCTCCTCGCCCAGAAGCATCCTCTGCAGTTCCTTCCTCTCCTGCTCCTCCCTCTCGCGGGAAAGCTGCGAGCTGGTCTTTTTATTCTGCAGCATGTTCTCGATGTTCTTACCCATCTCCTCAAAATCACTGTCTTCAGCCGAGCTGCTGTCTGTGTCTGTGGACAACACCTCTGTGGACTCCAGCACTCTGTCACGATGAGGGGGGAATGAGACAAACAAATTTTTTTGTTTTTACGTTGCACAGGGTGACTCCAAAGAAATCAAATCATCAAATGGAGGACAATATATGGAGCTAAACTGGGGCCATAAAATTTGTTTAATTTTTTTTTTTTAACTAAAATAAAAACATTTTTAATATTATTTAAACTAAAAAAATTTTTTTAACCTAAAATAAGTTTTGAAACAAAACAAAAAAAACATTTGAAACAGAATTATTTTTTTTCAAACTTTGTGGAAGTATTACAATTTTTTTAAGCTTAATAATTTTTTTTCCAGACTATAAAAAAAAAGTGTTGAAACAGAAAAAAACAGATTAAAATTGAAAAAAAGTTAAACACCACTTTTTATTATTTTTTTTTTGTTACAGATTTTTTAATAGCAAACTTCTGGTATGGGGGCAGATCTTAGAGGACTTCTGGTGTGGAATGATGACTGACAGTTATAATGCCTAGATAAAATATTATTAGCTGTTACATTCAAAAACTGTGCAAACTAGTTCATCACTGCTGCATCTAGTCTGGTAGAGCTTCTGTTCTACTTTGAGAACATGGGAAAAGTCCAACACAGACTGAAAATGGTGCAGTATCAGAAATTTTATAATTTGTGTCACAGGGAGACATAAGCATATGTGAAACATGCTTTAATACGCTTTAAAGACATTTCCATTTCCCACGGTTCCTGAATGCAACAACAACAATTTTGTCCAGGTGTCTAATTGGTCAGTCATCATTTCACATCTTTGTCATATAAGCCCCACCCCCACAGAGAGGCTGGCAGCTGGATGTATAGGAAATACAAATACGTTTGTAAAATTTCATTCCAGTTTTAAAATCTTTTTCTTCATTAGAAAGAGTTGAATAAACTTCATGGCCACAATTTAGATCCATGATAATGCTACTAAATGAGCCCCACTTGTTCTGCAAGTCAAAGATCCTCTGGCACTCCTCCTTGTAGCGCTCCTGGTGTTCGGCGACGGAGAAACGAGAACCTCTGGCAAACTTGCTCATTGGACCCTCACCTGAACGGGCCTGCTCTGTGGACATGGTTCTCACCACATCAATAACCTCCCAACGGGAAAGTTTCTTGATCTGACCCAAGAAAAATAGAAATAAATGCTCAAAGATGCAAAAGAATAAAACATTCAAACAGGAAAAGATGGTGGTGTTATCTTCCCATCATGCTGTGATGGGAAGATAAATGGAGAGAAATACAAAACAATACAGTCAGCTTAATATAAACGCACACCACAGTTTTCAGATTTTTTGGTAAATTTTTTTCTAACACAATAAAATTTCTTATTTTCTTTCAATTTCTGAAAAATTAAATTTGTTCCATTATTACTGAAGCACAATTTTGTTAATGGAAGTTGAAAAAAATATATAAATCCAGAAATTAAACAGTAAAAAGATTCTTAATCGAACTTGATTTCTGTTTTTTTATTTTTTCCAAATGTTTTATTCTTTGTAACCTTTTTTTATTATTATTTTATTTTTAATTTTATCTGTTCGACAGAGTTTTACACATTTCCTGTTTTATAAACTGAATTTTTCAGATGACATGCTCTTGTCTTCTAGGGGCGGGCTTTGTTTGGGCTGAGGACCAAAGGCGAATTTCTATTGGTCTGCTGGATGTTTGCGACAACATTTTATTGGTCAATATGCGCATAAACATCAAACATTTGTATTAGAAATTTTATTTTACTGAAAAATTTTGAAAATGTTAAACTTATATAAGATCTGTAAAACAAATCTGAAATAATAAACCTTAGAATATATAAACTCTGAGAAAACAGCAAATTTACACACAAATCCTATTTTTTTCTATTAAGAAGATTATTTAAGTTTTATTTCTGGATTGCATTTTTTTTCCAATTTCCGTTTAAATACCTTTCTCTTCAATTGCAGCAATAATGGAACAAAATTGACTCCATACACTTCATGGCTGTTGATGTTTTACATGAAGTCTCGATCTAATAATCATTATTTTGTGGTTGTACTGGAATACAATGAAAGCTGTATCCAAGCAATTGTGAATAACTGTATGTCTGGATAGAAAACCAGAAATCATTGTTTTCACCTCTTCCTCAGGGACACCAAATTTTCGAAGCAGCTGCTTGGCGTTCTTCAAAGAAAGCCTCCTGAGGTCGGCATCCGTTCCTGTCACTGTCTTTTTAGCAGGCTGCGGCTCTTTGTCGTCCTGAAGGGAAACAAAGAAATTCAACAACCAAAATAGGAAGGGAAGAAAATAACGACGTGAGATGATAGGATTCCGTTTCACAAAACTGACCTTTTGTTGAGTGGGCTTGTTTGGCACTTTCACGTAAGAGAAACCTTCGCCACATCCTGTGGGATCTGCAACTCCAGTGACTTCCAGCAGACACTTGCCTTTCATGGCAGAGATGAAGGCCCTGGTTGTGTTCCAGGGAGCTGTCCGCACCTAGAGGCCAAGACACAGAGGTGGTTTGAATCTGGCAGTTTACCTCATCTCACCTTATTGTCATCAAGCACCGTACCTCATCGTCAATCTTCATTTGAAAGTCCTCTTCATTCTCCTCTTCTGGAGCAAAGAAAGACTTCTCCCCATATCCAGCGTCCTACAGAAGATGACCAAAAATATGGAGTTAACCTTTCAACGTCCACCTGGTTGCCGGCGACGGTTTTTAAAGGGTTAAACTGGTTAACTGTAACAAAATTACAATGGTAAAAATTTTACCAATATAGATATGTTAGGCATTGTTAGAAATCTTAGATTCTCCATAATTCAACCACCAAGTTCATCTTATGGACACAGCGAGCACCATTAACACAGATATAGCTGCGTGTCAAAACTTAAACATACAAAGCAGCCACAACAACATACCTTTGAAGGCATTCAGAAGCCGTTTTATATATCTAATCTTCAACTATTTCTACTCCATTCATCCATAAGTGTCCACAGATTAAAAGTAATCAGCATATTCACAATAAAAACATTATATGAAGAGAAGTCTGCTACATAACGTCCAGTTTTTCACGTCAGAAAAGTTAACTGGTCATAGCTAATGCTTAGCATATTTCTAATTAGACTTCCTTTCTCAAATGTTTGCCTTAAATGTTCCTGTATTTATTTATTTTTATTTTTTTACAGTGTCTTCTTATCAACAATACAAAAGTGTCCGCCTCTTTGTATGACTTGATTTGACTCAGGAACAGCTGATGAAGTCTCACAAACGCTCCTTGCCTGACAGCCAATTACTCATCAAGTAGAGCAATATTACGTTCATAGAGTCCTGCTGTTATTGGTTAAGACCATGTGCGCTGTTTGCAGCCAATGAAATAAGATTTCAAACATGGCTACGGAAGTCTAGGTTGCATAAAGCAGAGCTGTGTCACCGGCGTGCGTAAAAGTGAGAGATACTGCTGAGACGCGTTCATTGTGCGCAGTTAGAAGTTTGTTACCTTCTGATATTTTTGAAGTTTGGCCACTGATTTTGTGTTATTACAATGTCTAAAGCTGAAAATAAACAAAAAACACATACAGCACAGGAAAGGCCCTGGAGCTTATTTATATATGACACCAGTGGGTTGACAGTCTTTTAATGTACCCCTCTGTTTTGTGTCACAGAGGGACTGCTATAACCTCTGGCACACAGAGAAAGGACTGAAAAATGAGACGCTAGGCTGTTTTTTTTTGTTCTGTTTTTTTTATGTTATATTAGGTTTATTTTTACATTTTGTGATATACAGCGATTCTGTTTTTATTTATTGTTTGCTTCTGTAATATGGACACTTGAAAATGAGCATGCCCACAATTTTTATTCATTTTTATTTATTTTTTTTTTACATTTATAGTCACTTTTTTTTATGCACCTTCAAAGAAAACTGAGACACAAGCCTGCTCTGGTTTTTTTGTTAGTTTCATATGGACACTTGAAAAGCAGCAGTTTCACTATTTTTTATAGATTTTGATTTTATTTTAGGTTTAATGTTGTATTTTTATAAACAGTGTCTCTGTTTTTATTTAATGTTTGCTTTTTTTTATATTGACTGAGAAAATGAGCATGTCCACAACTTTTATTCTTTTAAGAAAACATATATAGTCTTTTATTTTTATATATATATATATATATATATATATAT